AATAGAAAAATTCCTTCTATATGAGCCTACTCCCAACTTCCCCAAAACTAATTGTTAGTTCTCGTAAGAAACCTAACTAAAATGACGATTTAGCTAAGTAAAAGGCTTTTGCAGAATTCAATAAACTGAATGAATCACGATGGTGTTTTCAAATATATGCCAACCTGTCCAGGTAAATTTCATAATTAGCGTTGCATGGTCTTCGGCGGCTACTGTAGTATAACATGCAGAATCTCTACACTAAGACAACTTACACATTGTAGTCGTTCGGAAAACTTGATAGATTTTAGCTGTATGCGCTGAATGAACGACGTAGCAATGGTGAAACTTAGGTAGGCCTTTAGCAGGTAAATAGTACGCAAGCTAGGCGGCATTAATTAGCAATATATGCGTTGTTTCTAAGATAAATCACACAGAGAAGCGTGCTAACAATTGTTTGGGCTCCCCCTACTTACCTGTACAACTCTTTCGCGCAAAGTTCTCACCTAGTGAATGAATACTTTTCATCATTTTTCGGTGTTTTTTGCAATCTCACTTAGGTACACACTAACATAAAAAATATTCTTGTTCTTTTATCAGCAAGGAGTGTGCATTTGATTTTAAAAAGCTTACTACATCTGGGTACGTTCTACCAAAACGACAAAATTCCTATCTTCTTTTCGGGTCACCAACTTAAGTACTGCTTATTTTGTCTAAAGAAGATTTGTGTGTCTATTGAAGTCCCCCGTGCCTGCTCATTCCCGACATCACGCAATAGCTCAATGGCCACGGGTCAGACTAACACTGTCTTCTTAATAACGCATTGCCTCGAGTAACGAGTAGCCCCATCCGCGGTTTAGTCTTGCTCCCAGGGCGTGGGTCCTTGGTCACCTTCAGCCAAGCTGTAAACTAGTGCAGTTTGATTGGCTTCTTGGTGCAGGATCAGCGTTTTACATGACGAGTTCGGTGCCGGAACGAATTAAACTCCTTAAATGAGGTTCCCCTGTACCAAAAAATCAACAAATTTCAGGAACTCAATTTAGGCGAACGAACGTTTTCAATTAATTCATCATCAGGTACTACAATAATATGAGGGAGGGTAGAGTTAACGAATGTTTAAGCAACGAATCAGTAGTAATTAGGGGGACAAGGGAAGAGAGGTGTAAAGGGGTCAAAGGGGTTAGATTCTAGTTTTAATTGGGGACCAGAGAGGGGAAAGGGTGGGGGAGGAGGGGAGGAGAGGAGAGGAGAAGGGGCCCGACGATTAGTTCATGTCGCCCCGTCGTCCTTGGCTCACATTTTGTTAGAAGGTGTGAAGACGCAAGGTGTCGGCGTGAGTGGCACGGGGATGTTTAATGTCGGGGGCTCGTCACTGTTTCGTGGCGTGGTACGAACCGTGGGGGCGGATGTTGAGTTAGCCTTCGGCCCCCTTTGATCCCTTTATACCTCTCTCCCCTATCCCCCTTATTACTACTGATTGGTTGCTTAAACATTCGTTAACTCTACCCTCCCTTATATTATTGTAGTACCTGATGATGAATTAATCGAAAACGTTCGTTCGCCTAACTGGACTTCCTGAATGCTTACAGGAGTATCACCGCCGGACTTAAACAAAAAATCAGTAAATATTATACTGTATAGAAAATTGTGCAAACCTCCCCACATTCATTCGACGTGGAAACCTTTTAATAAGTAAAATGCACTTTTTGGCAGTGCATAACAACTAACCGGGCCGCAATTACCAAAGAAACGAGTATAAAACAACATTTCTTCCTTTTTCCGAAAAAATCGAAAGGAGTCAATATATTTTACCTCCTGTATGCGTGTTACCTTTCAAACAGCTCAGTTTGCATGGAAGACTGTGTCAACAACTCACCAATGTGTCAGCATGCCACTGCTTGTATTTTACTTGTAGTCACACTTTAGTACTCATTTTGATCAAGTACCAGTCAAATGTTTCTGCACTGCAGCTCATAGGGAAATGCATTTTGAACAGACGCCCGTACGTAATAACAACAGCAAGCCCATTCGATAAGAATAGCATTCCTCTGTTTGGCCATGACAATAGAATGCGCAGATTAAACTCAATGCAGATTAACAGACGCCGGAGTTGTTATCAGCGTTGCTTATTACCTAGCATACGTATGTGTAATTTCTAATCGTAACAACTAGTTGAGATTTATTTCAAATATAATTTCACTGCGTTCATTAAAGCCAATAAAAGCGAATGCTCCTTAAGTTTCCTCGCTGTGTGATGGAACAGGGGGATAGACATTTCGTTGTCGCAGAATGAAAGTGGAATGGATACAATAGTTTTATTTCAAAGAAGTTCACAGATATTAACTTGGATTTTTGTCTTTTTAGTCAACATAGCCAACAATGTGATTCCGACTCGGGATTAATGATAACCAGTTTATTTTCGATTAATACGTGAAGCAGAATTGGGGCTTATTTGCTTCACCCTACTCTCCTCATTCCTGTCTTGTTACGATTACAAAAAAGACGACGGAGTAGGGGGTGCGGGCGCATCGGCAATCACACAGCCCACCTACGCGCTCTGCATGCAGTAAAGTCCCTAAGTGCCAGGCATCAGCGGAGGGCCTAGCGTCTTTGCAAGTCATGGTGGCATAATGGTAGCATTAGGAAGTTACTGCCGGCTGACCTTCAGCTCTGGATAAAACGCAGTTATTCCCTCCGATTGTAGCCTGTCAAGCTCAGATATTTTACGCCTGGTAAGAAATGCGTTAAGTTATTACGGCAAATATTGGGGAATCCACTATAATCCGACGACATGTGCACGTTACAGCAATTACATTGTCTGGTAATCGGGCTGATTCCTACTTCTATTCTTTGGTCCTCCAGTTTACCAACAGAAGATAGAGAAATAGTAGGGTTTGGAGATGAGTCAGTAGTGGATTGCCAAGGAAGTATGCTTTTATGGCAGATCGTACGGCCAAAGGCCCCCTGTTGTGAGTTTCACACGGTTCTTCATAAAAATAGCACTCAGATACGGTCAGAATCATCCAAATCTTCGGGTTCGATGCCTATTCCTTGTTTTATTTGTTCTAGTAATCTTCGTCATCACCATCCCCGACGTCATCGTCGTCATCTTCGTCTTCCCAGGGCCATATTCCCTTCAGCATGTAGTACTTCCAATCCGGCAGATTACCTGTCTCCTCGGCTATTTCGTCCATGTCAAAAAAGTCCACTGTCTTGCAGAGGAAGCAAACTGCGTCCTTGAGCAAATTAGTGACAGCCTTAGGGTCTCGCCCACTGCACTTGCGGTACCACTCGAGAGGACAAATGAAACAGAAGTAGGAGTAAAATTCATAAACGGGTCGCGGTTTTGGACACGCGGGTAGGAACATGCGCACGGTAGCCTCGAATAAAACGGGATGGAAGGGCTGGACAAAGACGGTGAGAAACTCATCGAGCCAGACAACCAGACGCCAGCTTCCTCCAATCAGCAAACACTTGCAACAGCAGCACATTGCACGTGCGTCACATGGGTGATTTCAACGTGGTATTGATTACTTTGAAGTGGTTCGTAGGCGAGTTTGAAGGTCGCCGAACAGCTGTTTAGCAAGTTGTATATAGAGCATTTTGTCTCCTTCAGACCGATCTGGTGCCGATCGTCATTTCCGCTGAACAGAGTCAATCATTCCGAAACGCAAATCTTCATCGAAATTGGGCCATTAGTATTGGATATTCACTGCGGTATTTGTGTAATGGCGTCTACGCTAATGAAATCTGTTTTCGGGTAGTTGTGGTTTGAGTGATGCAATCTCAAATTGAAATGAAGTGCACTTTTAGAAGGTCGCGTACACATACCATATTCAAAGTTTCCACGTATTTAGCCGCGTCGTAATGCCTGCAGAGTTCGAAGTTTGGTTACATTTTTTGTTCGGGTGTCCGAGAATGTGGGAGGCTGGGTTATTGCTCACTGAGAGGATTCCTACGAGTTCGTACGCACTCATAAAGGCAAAATGAAAACAGAAATAGTTTTAAAATGCTGGCAGCATAGAGGAGGAGTTCTAACACAAGGGGTTAATTTCGTTTATTTGAAGGGGGATGTGTCTAACTTCACAACTTCTAACGCAGAACTTAAAATCGAAATACAAGCATAGTGGAGTGATCTATCAGTCTGAATGTATGAATAAATTTGTTGGTCCTTTTGTTGTTATCGCTATTTGTTTTGCCACCAAGCATTTGATGCTTCCTAAATTGGTCAGTCAAAACCTTGAATGGGTGTAAGCAATTACCCCCTGTACTTTTAGCCTTTCTTTCGCCTCCTCTGCTAAATTGGCTTAAAAGAATACAGCACAGATCTGTTTTGAGAACGAAAAATGAAGCCTCTGTTAAACACAAAAACAGGCAAGCGTTTCCATTGTTTTATGTGAATCGAAACTTGCTTAAATCGCGGTTTTTAGGAAATATGGCGGACGCTTTCATGAATCCCAGACTAATGAATGCAGACCAAGATAGGAGTAATACAAGAGGTAATAATTAAACTTCCAACGACCTGAACAACCAATGGATTGTGCGCGCAAGCTTTCAAAAAGGGGCTGTACAGATTTCAGAAAACAAACGGTTTTGTTCATGAACGGTATACCGATAGTTAATGTCAAGGTAGTCTTGTACCTTGCTCCAACCCTTGTATATACAGATGTGGGCATTCGTTGATATATGAGTGTCAAAGAGTGTCCGTATCCCCTGGCCTAAACCGACGAGACAACCAACTCGCGGCTTAACGGTTACGTCGTTTCATTCTGATCAAAAAGTTTGTCAGTTCGACGCTCCGGTGGTGCTCAACTTGGGTCTGAAAATGAGTGGCTGACGATGGCTAATAAGCCAGAAAAGACAATTTCAGTCTCCTTGATCTTTATCGGCCATACTAGACGTCAGAATGTAAGGGATGAGAGCAAACAATATATCAGTATGCAGAAATAGATGCTTACTTAGGTTTCTAAGAGTGGAAGCAAATTCATCTAAAAAGGTGCAATTTTGTTTATATGTGGGCCATAATCTGCCCTAAAACGAATAGGAAAATTAAGTCGTTGGCTGCCCAGCTACAAGTTAGCGGTGGGAAAAGTAAATAAATATGTTTGCTGTCAACCGAAGAAAATGCGTTAAATTAGGTTATATTTATTTGCCTTCTACTTCCATCTATTCCTGACTTTAAATCCCAATATTTTGTTTATGTCGCCAAATGTGGCAACAGTACTAACGGTTGGAATTGTTGGTTATAAAAATGTTTTCCTGGCCAAGATGCTGCTTGTCGAGTTACCATTATTCAAGATACTGCTGCGTATTTTTGTGTACCTTGGATTCTGTGATGAAAAGGATACATAAGCATTACTCCTAATTACCTTATATAACCCCGGGAAGTTTGGTTGTCTGGTATCGGGGCCACGTTGTGCAGTAAACAAAATGGGAGAAAAATCTCATAGGTATTTTGAAGCCAAAATAACTGACATATCTGTAGATGGCTCGCCCGTTTTCCCTTCTCAGAAGATCACGGTCTTCCTGTCGCCTCCGCCTATGAAACATAACAAACGTCTTCAGGCCCTTAACAATGAATTAAGCACTGAATGGAGAATTAATTACACTGCCGCCACCGCCTTCAGTGAAACGTTTCCAAAAACGCTTTCTGACAGAACAAAAGACACCGATTCCCTTAATCAACGGAGGAACAAAGGGAACGTTTGATTAAAATGGTCTGGAGATCTTGCCGTGAATTGTTTAACTCAGTTTTCATTTAAGACAACACCGTAGCTTGAAAAACGTTAGGACAAATAAAACGGAGAAATGTAAAAGCTAATCCTTCCTTGGATAAAATTAGGTGAGTTCAGCGCTAGACATGTTAGCATCATCATTGGGTAGGTAGCGGCTAAAAAAAATGCTGGAGCATATAGAACTGAACAACATCCTTTGGATAACATTGACTTTTAAAGAACGTCTATCCGTAAAGAAAAGCTTTTGCGAAATAACACTGCTCAGATGTTTTCCTTGAAAGGCTAAACAGGCCTCTACATGTTGGGACAGTTCAATGATTGCATTAGGGAGTGGTTTAAAGTAGTGCGCCAGGGCACTGATGGACGCAATCGATAGTGAAGAGGTTGTTCTCTCATCTCACTGCCCTAATAATCTCAACCCTAGTCAATAAACTAACTGCAATCTCTGCATTTGGAAAACGGCACAGTACGGCCTAAATTTCATGTAAAATGTCGACATATGCGAAAGATTAATACCCTCGCTTATTGGCATTGAGCAAGGTTGTAACACCGAGCGTCATGTTATCTATTCCGAAGTCATTTCAGTCACGGTAGGATGCTGGATTTTCAACGAGCTTCGTTCTGACCGCTAACAAAACGTATGAACTGTAAAAAATGGCTAATTAAGTAGCATGCATTTTTATCATTGATTTTGACTGTCCCTATAAATTTAGATATACTTAGTGGGAAAAATGCACGAAAGAATTCTATTCTATACTCATTTTAAAGCAACTTTGGCCTTCTTTGAACATTATACTTAAAAAAGGGGTACCTATCAGTTTTAAAAATGTATCTAATTGTGAGCTTTTTTACGATTTTGAGGCTTTCATTCATAATGCATCGTGTCCGTTGATTTATTAATGCTGTCTATAATATATACGACATGACCTAATCTATTGCAACATTTAATGAGAAATATGTGACTTCTTTCTCAAACCGTAGGCGAAAGCGTACTTTTCCCTAAACAGGATGTACACAGCGCGGAGTTTTTAAACCTTCAATTCAAGAGTAGCAGTCAGTAGGTTTCAAAATTATTCGGAAATTTGGAAACTTTTTGAAACCGGAGGATACTCTTTCTTGAAGTATAAAGAAGACGCAAAAGCTGAGAGAATTTGTCCACAGGTTTACACCAACTATCAGAGCAAACGCGTTAGCCCTTATTGCAGACTCACATATTCCTTATGCGGAAATTTAAATGTTTAAATTCGAAAATAAATGGATTGCTTACATATACGTGAAATCGCCTGGGAATGTTGGGAGACTCAATGGCTTATCGAAACTACCATGATTCTATCATGTAGAGGCAAAAATTACCGAAACACGTTCATGGGCTTTTAGATAATTTTTATGAGGGTAATATGTTTAGATTTGGTGAATGGTTCAGTTTTTATATACATATAATTTGCTGTTGAAAAATTGTAAAATTACGTGGGAAATTTGCTCAAACGGACGGATTATATATCGAACGTTCTTGCATGTTTCCCTAACGAACCTAATCCATGAAGGTAGAGGGAACTGACAGATTTTAGCAGTCCATTTGACCCATTTTTGAAATGTTTGGTGGCCTCGGTGGGTTTCGAACCCACACCAACAAGGGGAAGGCTTTAGTACAACCAGTGATCTCGTCTGAAAATTTTCATTTTTTGCACTTTATGCCATATTCGCGCATAATCTTTGGAGCATACTAGGTTCTCTAGTAGAGGTACCGTACTCTTGGACTGTTGAGTTTGCGAGTTATGACGTGCGTCTCTATGTGACTGTGGGCACTTTTGTTAAACGGCCGTTTCCTACGTACGCTTTAATTAATTTTTCTGTAGAGCATCTGATGTAGCCTTGATGTTTCAAGGATCCTCCATCAAGCTCAGGGAGATTACGTGGTTTTCGGAAAGTAGACTAAATTACTTACCGCCCATTTCAGCCCATGTCTCGGGTAGGCCTAGCTACATCAAAAAGGAGTACCTTAATGTCCAATACGACTTTTATTTTGGAAAAAAGTACGGTATAGCTTTTTTAACGCATTCTATCTGCAAAGCCGCATATGCGTAAATGAATTATTTATAAGATGAAAGCCACAAGGCGGGCAGAGATGCGCGCTGCTTTAATCTCCTAACTGAGACATTAATGTATTGAGTACAAGTCAGCTACAGTTTACTACGCAAACGGCCCATTTGCCTCCACGCATCGCAGTTATAAGGTGGACTCAGTGCAAGCATTTTCTGTTAATTTACTATGTACTGTGAACTAAAATTTTGATTCATTAATCATTAACTGAATTGCTGTTACCATTTTTATGGATGACATTTTTTATTGTATACCGGAAAATGTCTTCGGTACCTGGTCAGTATTACAGGTAATTCAAGATTTGAAATGATATCTGATTGTCGCTGAACAAAGTCAAACTCAACGGGATTCAGACTCTGACTGCCTAGAACATACTCCAGGCATTTACCCATTTAAAAGCATGAAAAGTGTTCCATGAACATCGATAGAGCTTTTGTAAGTATCATCCTACTCTTTGAGCAACACCACAACCAACAAGAATGGTAAAAACAAGTAGGTTATTTAATGGTATTGCTCTGAAAATTAAGAATACGCTGACTAGATTTGCATCTTTCCTGTTTTATTCAACTTAAAGTTAATAAATATATATTTCGGCATTTATTTTACTATGCCTAAAAGTGTCTGAGCCCTGATTTCTTTTTATCATAAGCACAGTC